CTGCCCTCTATATAAAAGACTGCCATAACTGTAACACATTTGTCAACTTAAACATCTCATTTGATATGCTCTTATTTCTGTGAATTCCCAAAACATTTACATAATGGCTGTTGACAGAATTTTAGAAAATTAAAGGAAAAATCTTTGCAGAGTCGCTAACAAGCAGTTTCAAAATCAAGGTCTGACCACACATTAATGTTTTAAGATAGAAAAAGACAAATTATAGATCACAAGCTATCTGAATAAAGAAGGAAGAAAACTTGACAGAAATGAGTTATTCAGAAGCCTAAAGACTCTCCATGATGTTGTGAAAGATTTCATACCATCTTATCTTGTCACATTAGCAAGAGACAAGCTGTATCGAAAGAAAACAGGCATTAACAGAAAAATCCAGAAAGGAAGTATCCACAGGCTGAAAATTTGGGGTTTAATCCAAATCTGTCACTTACTACCTATGTGAGATTCTTTTTAAAACCTTTACCTTGAAAATGCTATGTTTTTCTTACTTACAAAATAGGAAAAATAAGGCCTAACCTACCTGGCAGAGCTACTAAGATAATGAAAACTGAATACAGTATTTTGTAAACTGTACTTTACAAAAGTACAACTGTACTTTACAAAAGCAATTTTTTTTACTTGTTATTTTTTAATGGTACTGTATCTCTTATTTTATTTTTTTGCCATAATTTTATTGATAAACAAATAGCAATGAGACAGTTTCAAATCAAAACAGTAGGACAGTTTCAATAATTAACACACTGCATACATTCTTCTTAGTGGCAATTTTTATACTTTACTAATTTACTAATATTCCTAGTTCCATAGCTGACTCAGCACCTGAACTAAGCAAACATCTATGCTCTTGTTCATCTCAAATGTAAACACGTTTCCTTCCAAATTTAAGTACTAGACAATGCAGTGGGCCATAATTTAAGGCTGTAGGAGAAAGATTTCTCTGAGGAAATTACATTACTTTCAATACTTACTCTTAGCTGGGCTGCTCCAATAAAGAAAAAAAAAAAAAAAACTATTTCTAATTTGTACTTATCTGATGTTTCTCTTTCTCTACCCATTCCCCCCACTCAGTTTATCTTACAACAAAAATCAACGAAGAAGCCATTACTGAAACACAAAGTTACTGACAATGAAAGTTCTCCCAGCAACTGACTATAGTGAAGTAAAAGCACTTTTAATCAATTAACTTGTCAATTTAACTAATGTTCCTCATTTCCTAAGTCAAATATGCTGAGGAATGCTGCTTCTGGCATTCTCACCACCTAAATCTAGGTACCAATTTTTTCACACCTCCTTTATTTCCCTAATAGCTGTATTTTTACCAAGAATATAATTATGTCATTAAAAGTCCTATACATAAACAAGATAGCTTCCCTGAAAACTTCTCAATTTTAAATGTCCTGAAAATACACATAAACAAAAAGAGGTCTTCTTTAAAACAGCTCTATTTTAAATGCCTTGAAAATACATAATAAATCAAGGCATTAAATACTTGTGCTCAAACTAGATATGGGCAAGACACGGTAAAAGACTAGGCAAGAAGGATAAACAAAACATAGGCATTTTACCCAGATTGCTTTGAATGTCATTAAGGCCTTGTTTCTCTTCTTTAAAAAATATATAAAAACAAACATGCAAACTAAAACTCAATGATACTTTTAGATTATGCACCCAAAATTTTAATATAGTAGTATTTCAATCAGTAGATCTGTATTTCACTCACAAAAGTGTCCTAACTTGAATGATAACTTCTATGTTGATTTTAACAATAGCAGATCTTAGTCACATGTGGTAGAACACATATTCCAGCACTCAGGAGGATGAGGCAGGAGAATCACTGCCAGTTTGAGGCCCCAGTGTGGGTTACACAATGAGTTCAAGACCAGCCTGAACTACATAATGAGAATCTGTCTCAAAAAAACAAAAGCAGACATAAAGTTATGGCACCAGGAGGTAAAAAGGGAAACCCTTCCCCCACCAAGCCATTCCAAATTTTAAAAATCAAAGCCAAAGCAGTAAACTTGCTATGTAAACTATAGCCCTCTTTTAATCAGGCTCCTGTTCCTAAACCTTTTCTATATAAAAACTCTGCAGCTGCTACACACAAGTACAAAAAAAGAATTCAAGCTCGGGGCCGGGGAGATGGCTCAGTGGAATATGCGCTTCCCTGGCAAGTGCAAGGGCCTGAGTTCAATCCCCAGTTCCACCAAAAAAAAAAAAAAAAAAAAGAATTCAAGCTCAAAACCTGTGTTAGCCTTAAGCAACACCTGAGAACATGGACAAGCACATGCATATAAATTACAGGAAAAAAAAAAAAGCCATCTAGGAATCTAAACAACTACACTGTACTATCAACCTAAAATCAGCATGACTTAACATAAAACATTTAACATTTCTGAGCTGTTTTCCATTTCTGTAAAACCAAACAATGTTTGTCTCCTCCCTTTGTATAGAAAGAGCACATCTGTGAGCAGAAGGAAGTACCTAGAGTACTTTAATAAAAGCAATGAACTGCATCCCTATAGGGCTTGTTAACTGCTTGGGAAATAAGGCTGAGGTGACCTGCCAGTCCCCCGAGGCAAGCTGAAACACAACTAACACTAGGAGTGGTGGTGCACCACTGTAAAGCCAGCGCTTGGGAGGCTGAAAACAGGAGGATCACTACAAGTCTGAGCTGCGTACTGAGACCCTGCACTAAATACATTTTAAAACAAGATAAAAATAAAATCACCATTAGAAGCTCACACAAATTCTGTCTGGAAGTAGTTCTCAGCTATTTAGAAAGGAATAGCAAAAGAATAAGGGAAATAAATAAAGACACACAATTAAAATTCACCTTCACCCCACTCCCTGGCTCCTGGATTTGCTGAGGTAAACCCCACTGGAGAGATGTAAAGCTCAGAAGTTCAGTTCTTGCCCAGTTCGGGCTGTTCGGTGATCTGTGTTTCACACTGATAAATGCCTCCCAAATCTCAAAGCACAAAGTGAGAGTTCGCAAGGTTAGGCGCATTCATTAGCAGTACTCATTTGGATTCTGCATTCATCAAATACAAGCCACTATTCAATATTTGCACTACTCTAAGATCTCTAATTCAAAGATCCAGTCAGAATACAAAATAAAGCCCAAGAAAATAAGCTAAAATAAACTCGTCACTATCAGAACATGCTCAAAGTAAATGAGCAGTTTTAAGCCACACCTAAAGGTTTAAGTAGGCCTACAGCAGAAACAGTATCAGTAGGAAATGTACAGGTTACAAAAGTAGATCTCTGCTGCAAAAGAAAAAAATAAGTAGTTCCAAAGAAAGAGACTATTTTTGGTGTGCTTTAACAAATTCTGATTCTTTTTGCTTTGCTTTCACTGATCTGTCATTCACACAGCATTAGACAGTACCCTTTCAGGAAATCTACTTCCACACTTCATATCACTTAGCTCCACCTTCCTATTCCTAAAATGAGCACACTTTATAAATAATGAAATGTTTGCATTAGTATATAACACTAGATTAAGAAACTGATCATGATTCCTTTATATTACATGTTGTAGATACAAGTTCCAGATGAAATAGAGAGAATGTCACTCCTTTTAAAAAGTGGTTCCTGGGACTCATTCTCAGCCCCTCCTGCACAACAGAATCACCTCAGGGGTTTCTATAGACATTTCAATAGCCTAACCTCATCTTCCACCACCTCAAACTGGACTATCTGGAGACAGGATCTCTAGGTAGCAGCATTTTTCTGATACATATATCAAAGAGCATGAATTTCACAACTTACAAAAGCTCTTATGACAGATTAAAAACAACACAAGAACAAAAAAATAAATAAAACTTGCAATGTTCTCTTTTGATTTGGGGTAATGAGGGTATCTTTCACTAAAAGCTTCCATCTTCAATTCCAACAGTAATAATCCTACTGGGAGATAAAAGCTGAGATACGTAAATACTTTATCTCCATACCCTACCTGGAGTCAGTCTGCTGCCAGCAACACCAATAATGCAAGAACTGGGTAAATACTCTCAAATCTGAAAGGTCTCCAAGTAGGTGATTATTGATTATCCTAGTTTTTAAGATGAGTTTCAGGCGCTCCGATGAGATTCAGTTAGTTTCTGGAAAGGAAAACCATGTCACCCTTTTCATTTCTATTATGTTGACTCATACTCAAACAAGCCTAACTAATGGTGGCATTTTTTTTCTTTACAACCCCGTAAGGAATCATGGATGAGCATTCAAAGATACTTCCAGGAGCTATCCTTTTATAAATCTTCCAAATCTGAAGAATGTCCATATCCCCAAACAGCATGAAGATAAATTTCATTCATGACTGTAAGTAACAGCTTTACTTGTTCTTCGATCTTAACTGTTTAGCCTCATCTGCTGAAGCCTTCAAACAGCAAGAAGACAAAGGAAACACTTTACGCACCTGCCTAAACCACACTAAAACACGTCTTACAGAAAACTGTTCTGCTCTGACCCACAATAGGACCCAGATTTTTCCAATCAATCCCCAACTAACAAAGAAATGCAGCCAAAATTTCACTCTTTCAAGCAAGCCTTTCCTGATTAAAACCATAAGGCTGAACAATTTCCCAGGAAAGAGCACGGAATTTTCTTGCTAAAGATTATTACAGAGACTCAGGCATAGCCTAAGTGACAGAAAATTAAAAGACAAGTCCAGCACTTAAAATCCTGAAATACCAAGAAGACTAAATTAAAAATCACTACACAACCTGGAGAAAAAAAACAAAAATCCATCATTATAGTATTGTACTTAAGTGATTTTTTTCCTCGTATACTATTTGTAACCTTAGTAACATAACAGTAATAGTTTTAGAATATATCTTTATATCTCTAACAGTAAATTCACTGCTGAAACATGATGTGTACCTTCCAAAGTAAGTAATTTCAGCAAAGAGTAATAAAGCATCCTCTGATAAACAGACATATGCACACAAATACCATCTGACTTTTAAACAGCAAATACCAACCTGGCTATCCCGACCTGGGAATCCATGATAACCGGGGGTCAGTGGTTCGTTCTATAAGAAAAAAAGAAAAAAAATCAAACTTTAAGAGAAAAGAAAATGCTAAAATAATGGAAACCACCCGAAGTGACCAAATAGAAGCTACGACCCCAGTTCCTAAAATGTCCCATTGGTGTACTCCATCCAATCTAACTACATATATCTCCTGACGGAGCTTTTTCAGTGGCATAGACAAAGACAGACCAAAAAAAAGAAAAAACAAACATGCTTAGGAAGGCACATTTGACAGACACTACTCTCCTGTGCTAAATTCGTTTCCTTCCCAATACAGTGTATCTCTACCAATGTACTTCACACTGCAGGACTTTAGTAGCCCCAGCTCTTAATCACTAAAAACCAGCAGCCCTCCTATACATTACAAAAACAAAAAGCTACTGCACATTTCTATGTTTCTTCTGATCAGAGATAGAACAAGTACCACCCACTGTAAATTGTCTCTTGACCTTGGAAAATTTTAGCTCTTATCATCTCGTTTTTCTTCAGTTTTCAAAACTCTGGATGAAATTCTATGGGGCTGGTGAGATGGCTCAGTGGTCTAAAGCACCTACTTAGAACAAGCTTATTAGCAAAGCACAGGGACCGTGGTTCAATCCCCCAGCACCATATGCCAGCCAGTTCCGCCCCTAGGTGGGCTGAGCTGGCCACACACACAATAAATAAATAAATAAATAAATAAACAAACAAACAAACTTTAAAAAAGAAAGAAATTCAACCTCTGTTCAAGACTTCCTTTTCCAGCCTGTAGCATTATGGACTCAAGTGATACATAACATGTGTATATGACAAATTTGTTTTGGTTGTTTGTGCAGCTTACGTTCAATGTTTTTCATGATTGCAATTAATCATATTTTAAAGATATGTCATCTGGAGTATCTGTCTCAATTTCACATTAAGTACTAAATCAAGATCACTCAGGACAAGGACACTACTCAAAGAAAGCTATGCAAATCCTAACTTAGTATAAAGATACACAACATGAACATTCATTTATGGCTTAGCATAATTATTTATTCAACCTATAGAGAATGCCAAAATTTCCCAAGTATAGTTGAATAACTGACAGAATAAGAAATATGAATGAAGGCCCTTTCCTTTGAGAATGTTTAAACGCAAGGGATGGGCACAAAGCAGTAAATGAGACTATATAGTACTTTTGTAATTCCTAAAGTGTTTAACATATCTCCTCCTCAAAGATATTCACTCTTTTTCATCCACTTGTAGTTTTTATTCCTACTAGCAGAATAACAACTTCAGAGGAATTTTCATTGATAGGACTTTCCAAATGCCAATAGAGCACACCATCCATCTAATGGAGACTGTTTCATTTCTTTGACAGTCAAAAGTCTATGCTTCCCTAGAACACCAATTACAAGTTAACTTCAGCTCACAGCATAGCCCCATTTATTCATCATGGTTTCCCTGAAGTCTAGTATGGTGTCTAATATATGGTGCATACCCAGAAGAATTTGTACATAAATAAGTGGAATTAAATAAGCAAATTAGGAATTCAGCCAATGATTAAATCATAATAAACCCAAGTGCTCCTTTTCTATTCCTTTGAACATTTTAATATTTATAACTAAGTTTCTCCAAAGAAAGCACATTAGTGAAGATAACTGCCTTTGAAAAGTTAGATACCCAGCAATTCTGAGAAAGAGGAAAAATACTGAAGGGTACCTACTTGCTAATTTCAGAGTTTACTGCAAAACTACATAATCAAAATAGTGTGGTACAGAAATATATATATGGGTCAATGGACAACAAGTGAGAGTCCAGAAATAAACCTTTACAGTTTGCTGAACTTCTGAAATAGGTATCAAAAAACTAATGAAGGGGCCAGGGAGATAGCTCAGTGGAATAAGTGCTTGCCCAGTAAGTGCAAGGTCCTGAGTTCAATCCCTGGTACCACAAAAACAATAATAATAATAATAATAATAATAATAATGAGGAAAGAGTAATCTTTCTAATAAGTGATAATAAAACAATTGGAAAGACACATAAAAATATGAAGCTGCAACTCTTACCTCACATCATATGTAAATTAGCTCAAAACAAATCATACCTAGAACTATAAAACTCTTAAAAGAAAACAAGGAGCAAATCTGCATGATCACTGGTTAGAAAACAGTTTACTGAAATCAGGCTTGCAAATTATATGTTTAATAAAGGATGTGTATCTAGACTATATAAAGAAATCTTACAAGTCAACAGCAAAATGAAAATCAATTCAACCTAAAATGGAGAAAGTTGGGCTAAGGATGTATATAGCTCAGTGGTAGGGTACATGCCTAGCATGTGCACAGCATTGAACTCAATGAAGGGGAGCAGGGACAGACAGATCCTCAGAGAGAAGGCTCTGAATAGGCAATTCAAAAGATATGAAAATAATCAGTAAACACAGCACATGAAAAGATGCTAAATACCATCAATCAGTTATAACCCCAAAATATGACAATGTCAAGTATTAGTGAGAAAAAAGAAAAACTGGATTTTTTTTAAATTTGTATATTTGGTACAGGGTCTCATTATGCAGATCAGACTCCTGGTGATCCTCCTGTTTTCAGCCTCCCCAGCGCTCAGATTATAGGCATGCACCACCGCACCTTGATTCTCTCACTGGCTCAGTGTGCCCCAGGATTGGGGCCAGCGCAGCATGAAGAACCAGGGATTGAACCTGGTCCCTAAGCTTGCCAAAACAGGTGCTTTGTTCGTTGAGCTATCTCATAAACCCTGGAATCCTTAAATATTGTTGGGAGGAATATAAAATAAAACAGCCACTTTAGAAACCACTGCGTAGGCCATAATATGTTAAACAGAGTTACTGTAAGACCCAGAACTTTTATACCAAAGTATATAAGCAAGAAAAACAAATACATATGTCACATAAAACCCTGCACAGACAATCCTGATTTAAGTGGCTTATAGTCAAATGGATTTTTTTTTCCCCTCAAGTTTTGATAGTAATTCCAGTTCAGTAAATATTTCCACTGTTTTCCTTTTCTAAATACATGTCTGGACTTTATTAGTAATGTTGAATTTCTCGTGAAGATTGAAAATGTCATCTCAGACCTACTAAAGGTTGGTTTTATATTTAGTTTATATAACTGATTATGTGAATATGTTTAAATACTGGGAGAATCCTTCATTGACTCAAAACCAAGAAAGACTTCCCTTTCTATTTGTATTTATTAGCCTGTTAAAGGGAATGGTTGAAGACAGAAAGCAACATCTATATTTTGGTCTTGACTATGCCAATTTGATTAGAATCTCCTGTATCTAAAAAAAGCTGCCTTTTACTTTACCAAAAGGCATTTAAGTGTGATGTATGTAGTAACATCAAATAAATACCCAACATTTCTCACAAAAAAATTTAAAAAAAAAACCTGCACACATGTGTGCGTTATTTCATAATAGCCAGAGGAGAAACAACCCAATGTCCAAAAACTGATAAATGGATAAAGTATATAGTACTTCTGTAAGTGAATATTGTTCAGCAATGAAAAGGAATGGAATACCGATCCAACATAACCAAATCCTAAACACATGCTAAGTGAAAAAGATCAGACACAAAAAGATCACAACTTATATGATTTTATTTAAAGGAAATGTACAGGCAAGGCAATGTGCCTACTGACAAAAATAAATTAGTGCTTCTACAGGCTAGGGAACAGAAATCTGTGATGACTGCTAACGGAATGGGGTTTATTTGAGGAGTGTTGAAAATATTCTTGAATTAGACATTAGTGACAGATGACTATATTAAAAGAAAAGAAAAAAACCCTGCAAAAACACTTCTAAACTGTGAGATTTACAGTAATAATACTAGTTAAAATCATGTTGCCTTTTTCTTGCAGTTCTACAATTGCGTGAATCCAGAGCATGATATCCCCAACTTTTTCTTACTTGTTAAATATGAGACAGTGTCTCAGCCACTCAGTTACCCAGGCTGGGCTCAAACTTGAGATCCTCCTGCCTCAGCCTCTCAGGCTGCTGAGATTACAATGTGCACCACCACCCCTCTCTTCACACTGATTTTTACAAGGAAATCATACACCATTTCGATTATAATCAAAGAACAAGGTTCCTGAAATTCTGAAGCACCTGTTTGTTCTGGATTCTGTAAGTTTACATCAATACCATTCCCTAACAATGATGATGAAGACCAACAGATATGAGCAACTAAGCTGCATAGTTCCAGGGTGAATGAGAGAAGAAGAGAAAAAAGCAAAGACAAGAAACAATAGAGGAAAGTAAGAATGTGTTTCTTACCATTAGGGAAACTGAAAGAAAGAAAGCAATTGATTTATATAGTAACATACAGACATTAAATGGAAAAGGTGAAGCACTGGCCTGGGTCTCCTGGAACCCAAAGCCCTGTCCTTTTCATTTTGCCAAGCTCTCCTCAAAATGACCACTCCATATTACCCCTTTACAGTAAATATTTCAACACTTTTTGAGAAAGGGATTATATGATTAAGAAAGTGATTACAAACTCCAAAGCTTTTTAACAAAGATGTGTCATTCCCAGAGAACATTCTACATATCAACTAACACACATTTTTTTAAGAAAAAGATCTCATTCTTACAAGCCAAAATGGTCAAAATTTTAACAGCAAAGATGAACATAACAAGCTGCAGAGACGTGTCAGAGAAAATGAATCTTTTCACTTGTCTTAGCAAGGCATTAATTACTTTTCATATTCCCCACCTCTTAGATAGACTACTGGTAACTCTCTGGCCCTTGGAAAACTCCTGCCCATGTAAGAGTGATCTGTATTTAATGAAAATGGGCTATTTTCATTTTTAATTCTACCATGTACATACTTCTCTCTTACAAATGCATTAATTCTGCATGATATTGAATATTACACTTTTCTTGCTGACTCTGTGTGGCTCATCTCCACTAATATGTATTACTATATTCTACTAATTCTGACTTCTAGTCAGTATTTTAAAACCTTATAAAAATGTCAAAACTTACTTCTGTGGTTATC